GAACTTGCGTTTTTTGTACGATAAGCGCGTAGCCTTTTAAAATTGCTGTTCGTATTTTACCCGTTTCGGATCTCCGACTCCCGCCCCCCCCCCCCCCCCTCCCCCGTAAGAACTGCATCAGGCGTCGGTCCCTGCCACGCTAAGCAGTGGTCCCTGCCACGCCAGGCGTCGGCACCTGCCGCGTCAAGCGTCGGTCCTGGCTGCGCCGGAAGGCGGTGACCGCGCGGCCCAACTGCGTTTTTCTCTGAGCGGATCGGTGGACACCGCAAGACAAGTGTTGCAACAGTCATCACGAGCTGCGTACGGCGGCTCGGTCACGGCGACGAGGCGCTATCCGGTGCGGGCCACGCGAAGAACCATGGTAAATTACCGACTGGTTTCAAATCCAATACCTGTGAACCCGTATTTCGTTTTTATTGTGCCAGGGTTTTATATGCTGATCTCACTTCATTCATTCATCGGATTCCGATTTGAAAGAGAAGTCTTTTCAAAGGTCTGGTCACCAAACATGACGATGACAGCCATGCTTAACAAATGCTCTAGGTGATTGGTGTTGATGTCTTAAAAAGCTGGCATTGGATTGCTTAGATTTCCAGAACGAAGGGTTGTTGATTTCGCTGACCTTTTAGCAGGCACCTAGCCGGGAATGTTCTCGTAGGGTCATCTTTTCTCCCCTCGCTCCAGCAAATTTGCGCGGAAGTCCGCTGAAACCATGCAGTATCATAGCGTAAACCTGTTGGGCTCAATGGGACAGGAATACCTCCTGTGACCCCCAACCCCCTGGACATGTGCCTGGCCTTCCAGCTGGCTTAAGTTTTATGCGAGCAATACTTTCAAAAAAAAAACTCAGACACATTGTATGGCAATCATTAATCATGTGGTCATGGCACACAACTGCTGTATCACGAAAATAACCCCATGGAAATGGCGTGATAACCAACAAGAACTGTAAGCTTTCGAGTACCATGGAAAATTTTTAATTGCTTGTTTTACCTATATGTTAATGTGATGATGTTGCTATTTTCGTAAGTTGTTTAGTACATTTGCGAGGGACATTATTCACAAAGATAAAACAGCAGTAATAGCCTCATTCCTCGGACAAAAAAAACAAGAGGATAGGCATATGCATATGTGTTGATGTTTTGGCGACATGCCTTTATCAAAACAATATCAAAAGTGAATTCGAAATCACCTGCCGATGATCCTACTCAATTTGTCGGGTATTTTTTCTTGAAACAACGAGCCATAGTTTTGACAGGACACCACATTCAGGGGATTAACAAGGAGCAATTGCCGGCCACTACTGCGATACAGTGCATGTCTAACAAGAATTAGACACCCCGAAATACTCGACATGCAAAACGAATTCAGTTATTAGCACCACGCAGCACGCTGTCATGGAACATGCAAGCGAGGAAGTAACAGCATGACACATGTCAACAATTTAAGCTAGCACACATCACACATCCGGGCATATATCATGCCCGCATAATCGGCCATGATGAGCCCTGTGCGTTGAGGTTTGGTCACTGACATTTATGTTAAAAAATTCACTTATTTTTCTTTCTGGGTGATCCTGTGCTCTTTAGATGGCTTTGAGCTCTTAAAGGGGCATAGAGTACATAACTTCCTGGATTTCAGCCTGAACGTGTTTTGCCAAAAAATGGTCGCCAAAAGCACAGCTTCTTATTTTTGTTAACAGCTCGCTAGTGTTTATCATATCTCAAACGAAAAGGGTGCGTGGACTCCCCGACATAGACTATATTCCTCCCATGTTTTTCACAGAGTTTACATTTTATTTCGTAAACCAATTTTTGCGTACAAACCCCTTGGCAATCTCACCCTTATTGGGTTTCAAGGGATTTGCACCCCAAAGAAGTGGTTCACGAAATTAAGTGCAAACTGTGAAGAACATGGTATGGACATAGTCTATATCGGGTAGTCCATGCGCCCAATTTGTTTCAGATATAATGAATACGTGCGAGATGCTAAAATCAAAAGGAATGCTCCTTTCGGTGACCTTTTTAAGCGAAACACGCCAAGGCTGAAATCCAGAGAAGTATGGGCCCTATGCCCCTTCTAGAGCTCAAAATCATCTACAGAGCATAGTATCACCCAGACAGGAAAGTAAGTGAATTTGTTCGGATAAAAAGTCGGTGACCAAACTCCAACGTACAGGGCTCATCATGGCTGATCATGCGAGCGTGCTATGTGCCCGGATGTGTGATGTGTGCTAGCTTAAAATTGTTTTTATGCGTAAGTGATACCTGACGCGTGATGCGCGATGCATGCTTAATTGAAGTCGCCTGTATGTCTAATTGATGCGTGATGTGTGGTGCCTGTTTACTTCAGTTCGCATGCATGTTTGAATGGAAGATGTGATGCGTGGTGGCCTTTATAACTTCAATTAGTTTGCGTGTACGCGTATTTTCCGCGTATTCTAACTTCTACGTTAGATATGCACTGCATCGTAGTGGTCATGGATGGCCCTTGTTCCTTGCTAAATCTCCTGACAATGTTTGGTGTCCAGTAAAAACTGTGGCTCCGCTTTTTAAAAAAAATCAGGACCTGACTAATTGAGTAGGATCATCAGCAGGCAATTTTGGCTTTCACTTCTGTTCTGCCGTTTTTTTTCGATGAAGGCATGTTTGCCCGAAAGTATCACACCATCTATATCTCCATTCTCCTGATTTTTCTTCCGAGGAGTGAGGCCTGTTAATGCTTGTCGATCTATCTTGCTTATTTTCGTTTCGGATATGGTGCTATTGTGTTATGCTTTTGCACGTACGCAGTGCTAATGGATGCGAAACGTTTGTCTCTACGAGGACAGGAAGAATGAAGAACGCAGGTGCACTTTATTGCTTACAACCTAGCCGCTGATTTGTTTCTCACTAGCTTTTGTCAATAACTCTGATTTCTCAATCACCAACTCCTGTCAATGAAAACCGATAGACGGTAATTTGTTGCGTTGAAAGGTCAAAAATTAAGTAGCAGCTGATGCTGACAATCGAATGATATGACCACCTCTGAAAATACATGTAGATCAAGGGCGTGACATTAGGAGTGCAGGAAAGCAACGGAGGAGCAGCTACCCACATAGCGGTGTTCACGCAACACCTATACTTTTGCGCTCGATGGAAAGCAGCGAGGTGAAAATCTTGCGTGCC